CCGAACCCCTTCCCCTCAGAGACTAGTCCCCCTCAAACCCTTTCCCTTTCCAGAGTAGGGCCCCCAAACCCTTTTTTCCTCTCACAGACGAGACCTGCCAGGCTCCTTGATCAACTGCCCCAAACACCTTTCCCTCATGGAGCAGCCCCATGAACCCTTTCCCCTCAGGGACCGGAGCACTTGAACCCCTTCCCCTCATAGAGCAGTGACCACAAACCCTTTTTTCCCCTCAGTGACCAGTGGACCGAACCCCTTCCCCTGATATACCACAGCCCCAACCCCCTTTGCCTCATGGACCAAACCCCACAAATCTCCTTCCCTCAGGGACCAGCGCCCCTCACAACGAGAGGGCCAAAGCCCCGAACCCCTTCCCCTCAGAGACCAGTCTCCCTCAAACCCCTTCCCTTTACAGAGCAGCATCCCCACACCCTTTTTCCTCTCATAGACAAGACCTGCCAGACTCCTTGACCAAGTGCCCCAAACCCTTTTCCCTCATGGAGCAGCCCCAAGAACCCCTTCCCCTAAGGGATCAGAGCACTTGAACCCCTTCCCCTCATAGAGCAGTGACCCCAAACCCCTTTTTCCCCTCGGTGACCCGAACCTCTTCCCCTCCTATACCACAGCTCCAAACCCCTTTCCCTCACGGACCAGACCTCACGAACCTCCTTCCCTCAGGCACCACCGCATCTCAAAACAGAGGGCCACAGCCCCCAAACCCTTTGCCTCAGGGTCCAGTCCCCCCGAACCCCTTCCTTTCACAGAGCCGTGCCACCCAAACCCTTTTTGCCCCCCTCACAGACGAGCCCCTTCCCCTCGGTGCCCAGCGTCTCTCGCCTCACTCCGCCCTTCCCGCCCTGGCCCCCGAGGCGCGCGCCCGGGGCCGCCCAACGGCCGCCACCTTTCCCGCCGCGGCCCCCAAAGCCGCGCTGGGGCGCGCGCGTCACGCCGCCGCCGCCCGCCGCGGGCCAATGGGAACGCGGCGCCGCCTGCGCCCGCGCTTTGCAAACTGGGAGGCGGGGCCCCCGCCGCCCGTGAGTGACAGCCGGGCTCGGCCAATCAGAGGGCAGCGCCCCCCCCGCCTCAGCGCTGCTGGGGAGGGGGCGGGTCCCCTCCGCTCGCCCCCCCGCCCCTCCGTGGCGCGCGGCGGATTGACAGCAGCGTGGGCCAATGGGCGAGGCGGCCGCCTGCGCGGCGGCACGTCCCGGGGCCAATGGGAGCGGGCGCTGGGCGGGGCCCCCGAGGTTTCCAAACGCTCCGCGGCGCCATGGGCTGAAAACTAAACCGAGATGGA